GGGCAGGAATGGGTGAGTCCAGAGTTTTTTGGGGGGTGGGGGTTTCTTAAAGGGCTGGAGCTGGGGTGGGTGGGTCAGCGTGGGGGGTTGGGAGGCTCATGGCAGAGCCCCCCCATGCAGCATGGGGCAGCGGGGAATCGCCCCCTGCCCAGCAGCACTTGCTGAATCAAGGTTTTTTTTTTATCAAAGTGCCGGGAGCTGAGGCAGGCAGGACAGCCATTGCCGGGCTGGGAGAGTGGGTGGGGGATGAGCCTAGGCGATTCAGAGATTTGGCAGCAGCCGAATCTCTGAATCAGATTCAGCCGAATTAATTCAGGACAGTGATTCGAATCACCAAATTGAATCACTGTCCCCCAAACTGGCCGAATCTGAAGCGAATACTAGCCACTTTGCACAGGCCTAGTATCCAATATACTCCTAGGTATAGTATGCAATGGCACTCTTCAGTACCACTTTCGGAGACCACCTCATCAAGGACCTGACCCAAAGCTCAATGAAATCAAGCAAGTTTTTACACTGGGCCAAGAAGACTTTGGGAAATAACACAAGAACATAAAAGTCTCCAAGAGAAATAAGAGCATAGTCATCCTTGAGACTTTTTAGGCCAATTTTTTTTCTCATTCCTGTAAATCAGCCCTAGTGACTGAAGTGGATCTGCATGGGTGAAACAAAAGGCAGTTACATCCTTTGACTTTCAAGTACCCAAGGGTTAGTATCAACAGTATCCACAGCAGTTTTTCTGCAAGAAACGACATCTTCTTGTCTCAAGTTTGTGATCAGAAGAATCCTGTGGTGGGCCCCCATGGATATCAGGGTCTATGCAGATCTTTCATTGCAAGGTAAAAGTGTAAATTAGCACTTATTTGAAGCTTTCAAATGTTGCATTAGGTGAGTAAAATTAAATTAATATCCAATACTACATTAACACACCCCTTCTCTCCTGCAGGTACGTTTCAGCAGATCTCCCCGGGTAAAGATGAGTAGTGATTATTGAGTAAACCTCTCTTGACTACTTACGTGTGTTTCTAGGAATGAACTGTAGTCGTGCAGTATGCAGCAGTACAGCTAAACGCATTAAGAACAATCAGGAGGAAGAATGCATTAAAGCGGAGAGGATGGCCAGATTCTTATTTGGATACAGCACTATGCATTTTTAGTTAAAACATGTGTTGATTACTAAGGTAGAGGACTACATCTGATCAAAAAACTATCATCATATTTCATTCAAGCTCGGCATGAGATTTGGATTGTCTTCATATGGAGATGGCCCAAGGACTGAAGGAATCAGGATGATCTTTCGCAATCTAACAAAATGAACAAGAAGTCATATAAGTGATTCTGTTAATGACGTGCAGTTAGAAAGAGCTTGTTACAACCATTTCTAACCAGTACCTTCAACATATCATTGCACCTCTCATAGTTAGCCCCTGCTGAATTTACATGGATTAGGCATCAAATGCCTCTATGTATTTTACTGGTCAGGGTGGTCTACAGGAGGTTTGCAAACCTATCAGTGCTGTGCTGATAAGCAGGTAGATGATAGGGATGAAGGGGGCAGCAGGGAGGGGGTCCAACATATCATGTCAAGGAACATGGTTCCTGCACTAATGGCCCTACCCTCTGCCCAGGCTCCAAGATGCAAGTTGAATTTCACAGAGCTGCAGGTACGGGGGCTGACTCACCACCATTTCTATACCCCACACAAGCCTACAAATACAAGGCAAAAACTCTGTGAGTGGGATCTCAGGTTTTCTAGTTCACACAAAATACAGACAATTTGGTCCACCCATATTTCAATAGCTGCTCAGGTGTACACAGCAACCTCAGTGGTGCTGGAGTAAGTCCTCAGTGTACAGAAAAAGAGAGGCTAGTGTAGGGGCAGAAGGGATAAAACACAGGTGTGTGGGAAGAAACGAGTGGGAGCAGGTTGTACGAGGGGCAGCACAGGACAGGTCATGAACTGATGTGTAATCTGAATAATTAAAATGAAAATCCTTAATGCCACAGGCTGGAATGGCTTGCATGGGCTAGACCTGCTGATAGGCATTTTAAATTATTTAAGAATTTAAATTTAAGAATCATTAAAAAAACAAGCAGAATGTTTTTATTGCACTTCAATTATGTCCTGGTGAACTATAAAAACTATGGGCCCAAGATGCCAAACGGAATAGGCAGCAGCTAAACAGAAACTCTCAAAAAGTAAAGCCCCATTACCATCTGGGTAAAGTCATCAGCACAGGCCATTCGAATCCGCTCAGGCGTCAGGGGGCTGTTCAGCGTGAAGGCCCCTGGTAATCCTCTCTCCTTTCGTGCAGTGGACACTGCATCCCTTAGAGCAAAGAATACAGAGCATCCCAGGAACAACCCTGCCTCACCTACACCCTGACAGAGAACACAGGGGGTCACATAGATATTCTTTATGAACACATTAAAGGAGGAAATGTGTTGTCAATACTGGGGGGCTAAATGAAAGCCTTAAAAAATTACTGAGTAAAATGAGGCCTGATCTTGTTTCGTGGAAGTCAATGAGCATTTTCCACTGATTCAACAGAAGCAGGATTAGGCCACATTATGTTTTCTGATTGCCTAAGGGATCTAAGCAGGCTGGTTTCAAATGCTAGCTACAGATATTAGGACTCTTTTGACTTCTCTTCAGTACAAGATTTAAAACTTAAAAGAGTAACATTTGGTTAAAAAATAGAGATAGAAGTGAAGCAAACGATCAATGATAACATGCAGCCATTCATAGAGCAGGTTTGAGCCCAGGCTGAAACCCTGCATGCGAACATCAAAGAATAAGATAAACAAGGTTTTTATGCACACTTTGAAGCGTGATGATAGCCACTGTTCTGTGCATCAGAACTGCAATTTTCTTCAAGTGAAAATCCCTCTGAAAATTCTTCAGGAATGTCTAAAAATAGTTCTAAAAGGAACTACTGATTCTAACACCACTTTCTAACTTAAAAATAACATATTATCACCAATGTATTCTAAAATGTCTTTTTATATTCTTCAGTACTAAATAGCCTGACATCTAAGCAACCTAAAGAGCAGTTAGCATCATGCTTTAAGTGAGCAATATCCCCTGCATCTTGCATTGCATTATAGCTAATGTATAGGTCATAAAATGGGTCAGATCCTTAGCTGGTACAAGTGGATATTCATTTAGCATATCTACATGTGCACTTTCATGCACAGTAGCCTATTTTACTGTGCATTACAGAATCACGTAAAAATGTGTGATTACACTAATGTGCACTAAAATAGGCTTCTGCGCATTAAGTGTCACTTAAATTGTGCATATTTATTACTGTGCATTGGAGGTACTAAATTTAATGCACATTAAGAAAAGTGCCTTAATGCACATGTAGATGTGCTCATTTAGTGTAAATCATTATATCTGGGAGACATGCACATAATGCCCCAGGGTCTGGCTTGCTTACCTTGGATGCATAGATTGCATGGGGATTTTGTGAAGGTGACAGCAGGGAAACACTGAACTGTTCTGGGATGTCACAGACTGCTGGGATTTTATAATGATCTGGTCCCCGAGTGTGAAGGACTCCTTTGGGAGAATAGTTTAATTCCTCCAGTGTATAAAGTCCAATGCCCTGAACAAAGGCTCCTTCAATCTTGGAACAAGAAATGACAAAGTTTATCTTTTTATACACTGGAAGATGGATACAGCCTTGACAAGAGTTAGCTCTTCTCTAGGTTTCTGGAGCGCATTCTTTTTCCTATTTGATCACTCATTTCCAGCCCCTCACTTCCCACCCCCTCCCCAACTTGGGGCTGCTGGGGTTACTGCGAAGGAGAAAGCTGTCTCCTCTCTCTTTACCTCCACAGTCTATGCCTAGCAGATGAGTAGATGCTGATCAGAGTCATAATACACAGGTGAGCCTGGACACTGCAGACCAACGTAGGGCTTGAAACCAGGCCAGCAATGGTCAGAGAGGTGCAAGTGGGAGGCACTGCAGCATGCCACTAGGGACTATGGGTGCTATCCTGGCCTCCCTGAAGTCAGCCGGCCAAAATTCTTTTCCCTCTCTTCTCTGCCCGATGAGATGATCTACAATGCGGGTGACATTGTAGAGAATTTAATTCTGCCTGGATGACCAGGACACCCTGCCCAAGAAAGACAACCATCACTTGCCTGGTACGAACTGGACAGCATGACATTCCTAGCACGTACCTGCCCTATATCCACTGCTGGATTTATGCTGCATCCAATGTCCATAACAATGTCAGTTCTGAGGTTCTATTAATAAAATACAAATATTTAGTGTAGAAAGTAAGGCATGGGTGGGCAGGCAAAGAGGTTTTGAGGGTTAGAATTAGCATCCAGCGGGGCAAGTCACATTCATAAAACCTCTCTCAGGATGCACAATGCTGAGCTATTATCTGGCAGTCTCTCCAGAGGAAAAGGGCATCTTTATACATTTTCTGGGGGGTGGGGATGCTTTAAGTAGAATGGCTCCAAGAGCCGCTCTAATTAAAGTGCCCACAACATCTCATGTATTCAAAGCCTCACACTTCAAAATGGTAGTGGAGGCACTTTAACTAAAGCTTGCTTGACAAACTTTAGTTAAGGCGCCCTGCCACCATTTTGAAGTGTGGGAACACTGAATACATGAGACACGGAGATTGCTGGAACACGCTAATTAACACGATCCAGCAGAATTGATTAATTGAGTCTGCTCCAATGCACTGTAATTCCAGCATGTCAGAGCAGCATCCCCACATGTCTACAGGCACTCAAAGTATCCATTAGCCTAAGTGTGACTTAGCCAGTGCAAAAGACTGAAGGAATCTGTTCACTGTATTCACAGCTACCACCAGCCCTTCTCACAGAAACAAGCACTAAGTTGAGTAGAACGTGTTTGCAGGATTGAGTCCTTACCATGTCAGATGGTTAAGAGACTGGAAATAAAATACAGAGTTGCAATGTCACTTGTCTGATTGCAGTCACTAAAAGATAAAAGACAAATCCTGCCTGCCATGTGTCTGCTATAGTATAAAACTTGAACACATGGTATTTTTACAAATCCAGCAAAGGTATGATTGTAAGCAGGTTATACAGTTTTCAATCGACTTCAACTGTCATTGCTACTTCTTTTAGACCCTTCATGTGTTTAATGCAGTATAACCCAGATTATATATCAGTGGAAAAATAAGGCTACACAAGAAATACTGGTGGAACCTCCTCTGCACTATGCATGAGTTGAGACAGGTACTGGTTACCTTGTGATCTCCTGTGAGACAGTCAATTGCAACCTCTGAGCAAGCAGCTCCATAAACAAAATATGTAAATGGGTGTCCTTCTCCCTTCTCCCAGTTCATATTTCCATCATAGCCTCTAGTTGAAACAACAAAGTCCACATAAATCACAGAAGTTTAGGTTGTTCTGTCAATATCTGAATTACTACAGTAAACTTAATGACCAACAAGTTGGAAATCACTTGAAGTGGAAACTTCGTAATGGGGCAATTACCAGAATAATACTTTATGAAAGTCAACAGAGCTATGCTAATTTGCATCCCCTGGGAATCTGTCACCATGTCCATATTATAGTCAGGCAATCAATATGCCAAACAAAACACTCCAATCCAGAAATGTTCATAACAAAATCCCAGAATGGTTCTGACAGAGGCTGCCCAGGAAACCATGTCTAAAAGACCAGTTTAAAGTTATAATTACATTGCCGAGGGTCAATAAAAAAATCCAAGTTGTCAATAAAAAAATGCTGGTGTCAAGTCCTGTTCATCTGGTTCCACTGCTTGAGTTATTATCCTTAAAAGCCACTCCTTAAATTCATGCTTGCAGTTTTATTGAGACATATCTCCCAAACCCATAACCCTAGGGAGGTCTAAAAATACGTTACCTGAAGTACCCAGTGGCTGAAAGACTAATGCTTTGCTTAAAAGCTTCTTTAACCTGAAAGAGACAAAAGACATTTGGGTAAATGAATCCCATAAGAAGGAGTTTGCATTCACACACATGCATTTAAAAGTCAAACTGTCCAACAGAAAGCTGAGAATGCACTATCAAAATAGAGAGAATAACATCTGGACTGTCTTATGTGAGGAAGGCTGTTCAGGCAGGACAAATGCGATCAGAGTTTCTAAAGCTCTGTTCCAGGTCTAAACGGTGCTTTGTTCTGATCAACAATTTTACACGCTTCATGTGTGACAGTCCTACTCTAATGATAATCATTAGGGAATGTATTTGAAACTTGGGCAATGCAAGTGTCATGTATGGCTAAACTCAGACTTGATATTTTTAGGACTATAATATTCTGCTGGGATCAGGGGAAAACAAGATAAAAGTCAAGAAGTTTCCCCTTCCTCCTGTAAGAAACACAGAGGTCTTGTCATAAGTGCCTTCATCTTCCTCCACTGTATAAGGATTAGATCAGACTCTGGGAAACCTTGTATAGAGATAGACTTGCAAGGCCAGATTCCTTGTTTTTGCTGACTAAGTGTTTGACCATAGTAACACAAACAAACTGAAACCCAATACCATAAATCATGTCTGACCAACCTGACTGCCTTCTGTGATGAGATGACTGGCTCTGTGGATATGGGGAGAGCAGTGGATGTGCTATACCTTGAGTATAGCAAGGCTTTTGATATAGTCTCCCACAACATTCTTGCAAGCAAGCTAAGGGAATACCTGTTGGATGAATGGACTGTAAGGTGGATAGAAAACTGGCTAGATTGTCGGGCTCAAAGGGTAGTAATCAATAGCTTGATATCTAGTTGGCAGCTGGTATCAAGTGAAATGCCTCAGGGATTGGTCCTGGGGCTGGTTTTGTTCAATATCTTCATCAATGATCTGGAAGTTAGGATGAAGTGCACCCTCAGCAAGTTTGCAGATGACACCAAACTGGGAAGAGTAGTAGATACAGTGGTGAGAAGAGCTAGGATTCAGAGACCTCCAAAAATTGGAGGACTGGACCAAAAGAAATCTCATGAGGTTCAATAAGGACAAGTACAAAGTCTTGTAGTTAGGACAGAACAATCCAGACTGGGGACTGACTGGCTAAACAGCAGCGCTGCAGAAAAGGACCGGGAATTACAGTGAAAAATAAGCTGGATACAAGTCAACAGCGTGCCCTTGTTGTGAAGAAGGCTAATGCATACTGGGCTGAATTAGTAGGAGCGTTGCCAGCAGATTGAGGGAAGCAATTATTCCACTCTATTCTGCACTGGTGAGGCTACATCTGGAGTACTGTGTCCAGTTTTGGGCTCCCCACTACAGAAAGACTGTGGACTAATTGGAGAGAGTCGAATGGAGGGCAACAAAATGGTTAGGAGGCTGGGGTACATGACTTCTGAGAAGAGCCTGAAGGAACTGGGTTTATTTAGTCTGGAGAAGAGAAGGCTAAGGGCAGATTTAATAGTAGCCTTCACCTACCTTATCTGCCACCACTGAGAACAGTTTAGCCCTATCCAAAGGGGATAGGGCTAAATTGTTCTCAGTGGTGGCAGATAACAGAACAAGGAGGAATGGTCTTGAGTTGCATGAAGGGAAGTTTGGGTTAGATGTTAGGAAAAACTCTCACAAGGAGGGTAGTAAAGCACTGGAACAGGCTACCCAGAGAGGTCGGGTGACTTAAGGTTATCTTGGAAGTTTTTAAGACCCGGGTAGACAAAACTGTGGCTGAGATGATATAGATGGGGATGGTCCTGTTTTGAGCAGGGGGTTGGACTAGATGACTTCCTGAGGTCCCTTCCAACCCTAATTTTATATGATTCTATAAGGAATGGAATTCACTGTCCAGAGCAGTAACTGATGACCTCTGAAAGGTGATCCTAGTTAAACAGTTGTTGAGTTTATTATAAATCCTTCACTTAGCTGGGAGAGAGGAAGTCTTCATGATCAACCCATTTCATTAACATATACCCAGTCAGATTTTAGATAAATTCCATGCCATTCAGGTAAATATTGCATATAGACATTAACTGAAGATGGCCCTAAATTTAAGATGACCCCCCAATAATTAGATTCTATACACAGAAAACGTAGCAATTTGTTACAATTTTCCATGTACAGACTCTAAGTATTGTAGGAGCATCATAATTCATCCCCATCACCATTGCAGTGGAGAAAGCTGTGGTAGGGGGACAAGCAGTGGCAGAGGCAGTAAGAGGTCAGGCAGTAGGGGGTTAGGCAATATGGAGGTGGTGGGGAGGCAAATAGCCTCCTGCCTCTGCCCCCCCCCTCCACCCACTCTCCCTTGTGCCTGCTTCTTTTGCAGCCTCTGCTCCTTGCCTGCCTCTCCCAGAGCCTCAGGCCCCTGTGCCCCCTTACCTGTCTCCCCCTGTACCACTTCTGCCCCGCCAGCTTCAGTCTCCCGCCACCACCTCACCTGTCTCCCCCTTGTGCCACTTCTGCCTCCCTGCAGCCTCTGCACTACACCTGCCCCTCCTTTTCTTCCTGCCATTTACTCTTGCTCTGGTGCCAATAGGCTTCATCCCTGCTCCAGCCTGGGGCACAGCAAATGGCTCCAACCCAGCCCCATAGCAGTGGTGTGTGGAAGTGAGGGAGACGGGGGCCTCAGGCTGCAGGGGGGAGGTGCATGGGGTGCAGAGAAAGCAAGAGGCGTGGACAGGCAACAGCTGCAACTCCAGGCCCTGGTTCTGGGGCCAGGGCAGCTGCTTGTCTCCTTGCCACCTTGTACTTGATTCCAAGACAAGGGACTTTTTTCCCCCCATTCATGTTAAATGAGGGAAAAACCTTGTTTTGGACTGGAGTAAATACAGTAGTGCCACTTTATTGTAACAAATGTTAATTTGCTCTATGGTGGGCAAGTGCAGGCAGCCTGCACTCTCCAGCTGCCCCGGGCAAATGCTCTGGGGGTTTGAAGGGCTTGATCGGGGTTCCATACTTACCGAGTCCTGCCTGGAAGTTCAGGGGTGCATCTCTGAAGCAGAGAAAATCTGCATGGGTTCCAGTGTGCAGGCATGGGACCTGGGGAATTCCATGCACCCCATGCCCCGATGTAGGGACCTTGTGCTTCACATAGAAGCATGGATCAGTGTGGGTCCTGGGGAATTCCCAGAGCCCCACGCTTCAATGCTGGGACCCTTGCTGACCCATACCTCCACATGAAGCATGGGTCAGCATGGGACCCAGTGCAGGTCCCAGCATAGAAACACCAGGTGCTGGTAATTGTACAGCTCCAAACTGCCCTGCGCCTTCTTGTCAGAACTCACTGTGTTTCATGCAAAGTCATGGGTTCCAGCATGGAGGCATGTGGTGCCAGTGGTTCTCTGGGTTCCGCACCACTGGGCCTCCATGCTTACTCATGCCTCTGCATGAAGCATGTGTTGGTGTGGGACCTGGGTCCTGGCAAGGAGGTACAGGGTAGTGAGGAACATGGAGAATCCCCAGGCAAGGGGAACACATTACCTGTGTACCACATGGGCCCTTGCCTGATGCAGGACAACAGGCAACACACATTTCACCCCATAAAGCAAGTCAGCTGTGGTGGGATATATCCTGTCACAGCTTGATCTATTTTACTGGGTGACATCTGTTTTTAACCTAAGAGAGCTGGCACAAAGTCACCAGTTATGTAAGTTCTGAAGGACTTATTGCAAGGTTTGGAGCCAGAGAGCAAGCTAAGGTAGGTCAGGCTCTTCCCTTTGTGCACAAGCCAATATTTGCTGTACGTTGCAGGTTGTATTGTCTCCAAATCTGTGAAACTGCCACATTTGCAGAAGGAAAAGAACCAAAACTCTGAACAGTATAGTGAGACCAAGCACTAGGAGCTCCTTTGCTTTGTGCAGCTGCTTTTGACTTAAAGATCAGCATGGAATGATGAATGAGGAAAGAGGAAATATAGCAAGTACTCATAAAACGCGCGTCTCAGGACGGTCATGCATATGCAAACATATTAAATTCAATTTATACTCCAGATGGATTTTTCACCCCCATACAACACTTACCCAGTCATTCCAGGTGCCTTTTGGATTCTTGCTTATAATGGGCTGCAGGCGTTTCACGAGGGTCTGACAAGCGCTCTGGTGAAGAGAACAGTTTGTGAAATAGTACTAAAGAGATCATTAGATATTTGTTGGTATTTAGTAGAACCCTAGCTATATTTCCCTGTGGCCATTATGGCACTCACAGTAGACAGTGCCTCTGAATGCAAATCCTATTGCATGGGGCCAGGGACTGGACAACAGGGCGTTTCTGCTGGGATTGTGAAGAGCACTCATTTGCAGTTGAAAGTCATTATTCCCTACTGAACTTCAAACCACTACCTGTCTTCTTGTTAAACACAATCAGCTTTTTCCAAGACTTCTGTCATCTCTTAACTGCTTGCAGCCACCCAAACATACCACCTCCAGAGTGAATCTGAGGGGAAAAAAATTTGGATTCTTAGAGAGGAAGACACTCAGGCTCTTCCTAAAGCCAATCTTTTGGGGCCAGACATTTTTAATATTTATAAGAAATCACATTAATCTCATCAGTTGACATGGGTTACCTTCAAAAACTCAGAACAACCTCCCACACGTTTCTGCCAAGTGGACTGGGTGAACTGATGATACCTGTAGGAGGTTGCTCAGCTGACCATAGGCCTAGTTCCCAATTACTGCTTTCAAGGCCCCTGGAGACCAAGGCAGCCTCAAAAGGATTCTCCCAAGCATCCTCCACAGTGTACTTCCAGGTCTGGAGCAAAGCTCTGCACATAGTTGGGAAAGGTATGGGTAGGTTCATTCTTGCCTGGTAAACACCACCACTGTGGCATACACAATGTAGCCTGGAGCAGTTTAACCAATGCTATTTTTCAAGTGCGGCTATACATTTAAGCTTGCAAAAGATTTGTTTTTTTTCAGAATTTAAGATACCTGTAGTTCTTTTTTCTTTGATAAGAATAGTGTTTTTTATGGTGAGTCTGAAGGCTGTTTGCATATGTATATAGTATTTTAAATTGAAAGCACAGGCTAGGAATACAATTGGATACATTAAAACAAATAGGAAAGAGATTCAGGTCTGCAGTTTACAGAGTTTGAAAGGCCAAGAAGAAAGTAGGAAGTGTTAGTTTAATTATATAGATTAACATCTTAAAATAAGATCTGGAATCAGTGTGACTCAGCACAACAGTAAGTGTGAGATCCAGGTTAATAGGTATTCATTATATGGAGTGAGGGATTAGCAGAATACCTAAGCTTTCTCAGGAAGGTTTGTTCCAAAAACCAAACAAACAGATCAGGTTTTTTATTCTCTCCCTCCAACAGTCATGCTATAGAGGTCATTTCAAGCGCGATTTTAGCAAGACTACTCATGTTTAAATTTCAGCAAATACCCTGATGAATGGGGGAAGTTTTAAGGCAGTTGAAAACAAGAGAATGCTCTTTACCTTCACTGCCATTCCATTGACATCAGTTCCAGCAGATCCTACTGAAGCACATGCATTAGGAATTGTTGTTGTGTTTGTTTCACAGACGTGAATACTTGACATGGGGATATTTAGCTCCCGGCTGGCAACCTAGGGTGAAGATGAATGCATCCTTATTCTGTTTCAAAGACACTTTTCTGAACGTCTCAACAGCAACTCCTCATCTCTCCCTAGCACCAGGCCCAGGAAAAATGAGGTTATAGAGGTTACCATCCTAGGTTCACCCTCCTTCTTCCAATATCTACCCATATTGGTGTGCTTGAAAGATACAACTAAGAGAAGGTGATGGACTTGTGGTTAAGACACTGGTCTGGAAATCTGACTTCAGCTCCTGACTCTCCCACAAACTCCCTGCATGACCTTGGACAAGTTAGTTAGTTCCAGATATTCAAAAGATATTTATGCACCTCCAACCCACTGATTTAATAGAATCTTTGAGGATGTGGGGGTTTGTCTCTCTGGGCCTCACTTCTTCATCTGTAAAACAAGGATGATTATGATACTCCTTCTGTCTGTCTCATTAATTTAGACCAGAAGTGGGCAATTATTCGGGCTAGAGAACCACTTGAGAACTTTTGGTGAGCTGTTGCAGGCCAGAGGGAGAGGGACAGGTGACCAGGACCAGTGCGGTGGGTGGTGGTAGGGGTGCTGATCCAGGATGGCATGGCGGAAGGGGGGGTGGCAATTGATTCTAACCAGCTCAGGCCCAACTGTCCCACATTCACTGCAGAGAGCACTGGATGCTGGATGGAGCAGACAAGCGCGGCAGTAGGGGACATGGCATGCTCAGGTGGGCAGATGAGATGGGGCCACAGGTGGTGGGGAGTGGTATCTGGGAGCACAATGGGCAAGCAGGGCTGGGGCTGAGATCAGGAAATCATGACAGTCCAGGGCAGAGCCCTGATCTACTCCCCACAACACGGAACTGGATCATGGCTCTGCACTGGGCCCTGGCCGTGCACTATCACCACCCTGTGATCCTGCCCCCACTACCCGGCCTGCTCCCAGAGGCTGCTCCCTGCTTGGCGGGCATCCTGACCAGTCTTCATGAAGACCCCACCTGCCCACCCACCCACCC